ACTATAACCGTTTCGCCTTTTTATTTAATTGATAAATTTAGGAAAATAAAGCTTATTATTATCACAAAATTTTCTTATTAACCCCAAATCAACCCGTTAGGAACTTTAACCATATTATTCCTTGAAAATTCAAGTTCCGACTTTAGTCGGCTTGCCGCCCTCCGAGCTTTAGGGTACAATAATATTATATCTTAAGTTTTAAAATGTAATGTAATATTTGTATAAAAAACTATGTAATAATTACATTGGATGTAATAATTGCATGGTTTTGTGTGTTTGCATAGTGTAATAATTATGTAAATTAACATCAGAAAAAATTTCCTGTTGATATATTGAGTTGTGAGATCTTTACCAAGTTTCTTTTCAATTGGAAAAATTGATTTCCTAAGTTTTGAATTTGAATTTTCAAATCTTCATTTTCCTGTGGGTTTAATATCAAACAGTTGCCTTATTATTTAACTTATAAACAGAAAGAAATCAAAATTTTAGACATTAAGCAATTCATAAAAAGAAAATAGAATAGCTCCCAAGACAATCGTTCTTTAATAATACTTGCTTGTTTCTGGGTTGCTGATTGGAATTGTTTTTCTTTGTTTATATTTTTTTTTATTATTCACATCCATTTTTTCGTTTTTTAAAAAAACCTACTAATAATATAAAAATTAGGGGGTTTTTTTGTATCTTTAATATTGCCCAATTAAAACTAAAGACGACAACAAAAACCCACCACTTGTAAGTATTAGCAATCACAATCATAAACCCCATTGATCCCTGAAGCTTTATAGAGCAGTTTTGTTACAAACAAAAGAAATTTTAGCCTGAAATTGAAATTACAATTAGTTGTTCAATAAAATAATGGCAAATATTCCATGCTTGTTTGGAAAAAATATCAAGATACTTGGATTATTCACTATTCCATGCAAAATATTCCACCAGCACATACAGTTCACTCTTTCTATAATGGACCATTTGGTTTAGTATTAGGAAAAAATATCAGCTATGGAGAGAATCTGTTATATATAGCAATAATTATTATTATGTATGGACTGTATTCCTACATAATATATTGCTCCTCACAAAAATAAATAACTTCAGTTATTCTACAAAAATTGTTCGTGTTATCAGCTTTAACTTTACAAAACCAAAATATTTACAATCCTCTTCCTTGTGTTACAATTGTATAGTTGGTTTTTTGATAGTAGGTTTTTTAGTAATTTTTTTTTTATATTTTTTTTTAGATTTTGCTGTTATATCAAATGATGAATCAGTATCATCATCATCGTTGTCATCATCGTCGTCGTCATCATCATCATAATCTGATGATGATGATGATGATGTCATATTTGTATCCTGTATTAATTGCTTCCATTTGACATCTACTATATTTGATGACGATGATTTTTTTATTGAAGCTGTGGTATTTTTGGTTGACTTTGTATTAGCTTTTGTATTTTTATTATTGTTAACCATATTTTTTACTTTTTTAACTAAAATAGTCCTTGAAAAAAAAATAATAAAAATAATAAAATTCAAATCGATTTTATCAATTTTAACAAATGTTAATATATATATATATATATAATTTTTTGAATTGTATAAATTAAATAACTGATTTGACAATAACAATAAATTAGATAAAAATTTAAATATTTATTGTTTTTAAAACAAACCGATTATTATGAATAATTTCAATGTCGTCTTCTGACTTCTCTTCACTCGGATGTATGAACTCATTTTCTTCCTCCTCCTCTTCTTTTCTTTTCTTTTCCCTTTTTTGTTCCAACCTGCTTGATCGTCTTGTTGTTGTAAATGACCTTTCAGTGAGGGTGGTATCTTTAGGCATTTTTATTTTATATTTTTTTAGAAAAGATTTTTCTAAAAAAAAATAGTTGTTGTTGCAAATATTATATTTATAGCAATCAAAAATTTTTCATAAAAAATAACTTGTTTACATAATAATGTGTGTAACATTATGGCAGGTGGGTAAATTTACGTGATACAAATTCAAAAATTAAAAAAAATTAGATTTTCAAAAATTTGTGGATCTTCTTTACATTACATATTATGGATTAAAAGAACCCTTATGGAAAATTTATTTTATTTTTTATCAATTTTCTTTAACTTTTTTTTGTAAATTTCCTTCATACATACACACTATTAAATATTTTTAATTAATAATACTGCCTTTTCCGAATATTTGGGGATGAAACTTTAATTTTTTTATCCAATAGTTTATCATTTTTAATTTATACTAGAA